TATTGCACCAATTGAAATCATAAAGCTAAATTTTTGTTTGCTGACTGATATATTTTTTGACGGTGGGGTATGATATGAAATACAGCCACAATGTTGCTGAGATATTTGGAAAACTCCGGAACGCATGTGTCTATGGTGGGGAACGAACGCGTTATCACCATTATTACCCTTTCTGGGGCTAACGCACTCACTATCACGCCATGCTAGTCTTTCGTTTTCCCTGTTTCTCAGCTATCAGCAACCAACCATCAATGGGGTTGATCTGGGGAGCCAAATCGGCATTGAACCCAGTTAAGCTGAGGCTGAAGTTGAAATCAGTTGAAATCACAAAGCTAACTTTTTATTTGCTACCTAATATAATTTTTCACGGCAAATCCATCTCGTCAACGAGTGATTGCTGATAGCACTGATGGATAGAACTATCTGAGAGATAGGCGAAACGAAGGACCTGCATGGTATGGTGGTGAACGCGTTGGGCCCCAGAAAGGGTAACAACGCGTTCGTTCCCCACCGCAGACACTTGCGTTGAGGAGTTTTGCAATTATCTCAGCATCATTGTTATTACACCACTATTCGGATAACTTCAAAGTTTTTTGTGTAGTACTTTGTGTAGTGGAAAAGTATCATCAACGATCACAATAGCATTATTAAACTTGGTTTTAAATTTGGCATTCAGACTAACAATATGTTAGTGTAAGATAATTGCTTGTTGATTATGAAAAAGGTTCTATGAGTGCTTTTTCTTATAGCGAAAGTTTAGCTTGTTAGCGGATTTTATTAAGGAGAATCAACCAGAAAACATGAGAACGGTTCATGTCCATGAAACCTACACCATTCCTTCATTATCCATTTAATTTCATTCAAATACAAAAAAAGACGGATTAATGAACTAGCTTATTATTGAAACAGAGTTAAGAAAAAAGTCCCTTTTCTGTATTCCTATTGTAAAAAGCCTCCCAATGGTTTACCGCCTCATCAAGGATGGGAGGTGTTCCTGGGTGTCCGGGTGCGATGTAAAGCGGGGAGCGCATCTTCCTCGCAGGGTCTATCAATCTGAGTAGGAGTCCGGCGTTCCCATCAGGAAACCCAGCTAAGAGTAAACCAATACCAGTATTCACCACCGTCCTAGTACTAAACTAATCGCATGGTGGCAAATCTTCCTCTGATCCACAAGATCTGCGAATGCCTGTGGTAGTGACGACGTAAGGCAGATTTTGGCTAATCTCCTCGGGACTCCAGAGAAACACGGTAGCTAAACCAGCAAACCTTCGAATAATTGAGATTGTGCTGGGGCCGTCCAAGTATCCAAGAGGGTAGCATTTTAAAGAGGCACCTGCTATTATATTAAGCCCTAATTCGAAAAGAAAATGTCAGTAAACTTCATTGGAATCCTACAATCATGCAGAAAAGCATAGCTATTCATTAACATATTGTAAAGATCATACGAGTCTTTTTCAATGAATGGATATCAATACGTTATAAGCCCTTAGGCTTTGCCATCTTCGGAAATCTTTATTAACTTGGTGTTTTTAGTGTGTGTTTGATCTCATGGTCTGCTCTCCGTTGTTTTTTTTCCAAATCTAAATGAGGAGCACAACAGGTGCAATAATAAGCAAGGAACTGTGATTTTCACGTGGATGGTGTTCGTCATCGAACGGCACCCATTTTGCAAGCGAAGCGTTTCTGCTTTTTTTCCTGGAATAGTGCGTTGGACAACGTTCATTAGTGTATGCTTTGTCTCCATCGTGAAATACAGTTTTGTCCCTACATAACTTCAATGTCACTTTCATGCGTTCTATCATTGTTTCCAACTCTGAATAATCATCGAGAACATTTTGAAAAAGCCTGTTGTTCTGACACTCATGATTTCCGCAGTTTAGAAAGCAAAGTCTAATCCATAAAGGCTGCGACTGCCCATGGTTCCGAAGATCTGATGCAGGCCGACCTAGCGATTCTAGAGAAAACCAAGGCCGCAATGGCTTAGCCAGCAAATCTCCGAAAAATGATTATGCTGGAGCCCGCTCAACCAGTGAGGACGGGCCGTTCAAATATCAAGTAATAAAGCAAAGAATTTTATTGAAGGGCGACGTTTTCCTTTGTGGATGCAGTTTCAGGCCTCCAAATATCGTCTCACACTTGAGAAAAATACGAGTTTCAGTTATTATCATTGCCTTCTTTGACGTTTTAAAAGTTAAAAGAAATTAGGTCGTAAGCATAAGTTTGACTAGCGAGAAGATGTCACCGACAGAATATTAAAGATAAGAAAATGTTCAGCCATCGTTCCTTCCATATAGGCACAACATGTTTGACCTGAATTAAAACTATTAGTACTTGTCGAACTCGAGGGCTTTTCACCATTGTTTATGTTTCTGTTCTCCAGCGCAGACTCACAGATGATCTTGAGTAAGTCCAACAAGATTGTGGATCATTTATTTCCTGCTGTTTATCGTTTTTCATACATTTACTGGATGAACAAACAACTCGCGCTGCAGGTCAATCGGTCGAGGCGGCGACGAGGAGGTACGGCGACGTGGCCGGTGGCCGTCGTCGCCGGCGTCGGCCGGAGCTAGTCGCGAACTGGCACCGCAGCCGCGACGAAACGACGTTTGTTCGGAAAAAACGCCGACGGGGCGATTCGAAATTTCGAATTCCGTCAGAGAGCGTAAGGAATCGGAGTGATGAGGGGTAGCAGGAATGCTGAGCGTCGCGATAATTGTGCTACGACCTGGCCCGTATACAAACCGCATTAGGAGTCATTGGCAACAGGAGGGGGTTAAGCGTATTCCTTCGCCTGGTGAGGACTTGCAGCGTGGAAGTAAGGAGGTTCTTACCCTGTGTTTCAGCTTCATAAACAAAATGAAAGCAGCAAGGTGTGTAAAGGATAAAATAAAAGGGTAGACCTCTCAGCGCTGATCAATCCCTGAGTGATGCACCATGCATTGGACTTCATTAAGCATTGCTTTGAGGTGATCGAATGCATGTCTGGCCTTTACAATGACACGCGGTGGCCTGCCATTGTCTCGATTGTCTCGAACCAGTGTGCTATCCTCCCAGACAAGTCCTCTACCAATTTGCTGACTCCGGAGCGATGGAAGGCTTGGTGGACCATTGGGGAGGCACGGGGATCAATTTCACGTGTGTGTTGCCGGGTGACTCTGACCACTGCGCCACACGCGCCCTGGTAAAATGTGTAGCAAAGCTAATGCATATTTTATACTCATAATATATAGTGGTGTTAAAATCTTATGAAGTGGCCTATGTCCGCATGAGAAGTTTTCCAATTTATATCGGTAGATTAATTCCTCAGCAACGTAACTCTTCCTTCTTCAGAGCGCCCTGTTGTACTAAAATCGCAGTTCTCACTTTGCTGTTTTTAAGGCGAATCGCTGCAATCAAGGATCGTTGTTTTTACGCTGACAATGTCACTGCCAGTCGTATAGAATAAGCTGTTCGTTTCAATGACAAACTGTCCGTCGACTGTAGTTTTATTCGTGATATAATGTAACGTTGATGGTTTTTTTCCTAACAATTCTGATTTCGTGTATGGCTAATATGGAATGGATTGATTCCAAACGATAACATTTTCGGATTCTTGCGTGGTTGAACGGTTACACCTCTTAAAATTTGGTGTTGGTTTATTCCCAGTTTATTTAAACATACATTCCCACATGTATGGATAATGCGTTCCATTCTTTGCCAAACTAATTAGAGCCTGACGTAGCGATGTTTTATGTGCTACAAGTGGTCCTGGAGAAACTACCGTATTTATTATTACGAATAGTGATTTTTATTTCTTAATATTTTCTGAAAATCTAAGAAGGAAATGAACGTACACCTTTAGACCGACAAAATTATTTGTGATTTTTTTACTTGTATCTGAAGGTCCTCCCAACGGTGCACCGCCTCACAGTGGTTGGGAGGTGTCCCTCGGTGCCGGGCTGCGATGTACAGGGTGGGGAGTCATTCTCCCAGCAGGGATTACCAAGCTGAGAAAGAGTCCAGCTTTTCCATCGGGCAATCTATCTAAGAGTAAACTAATACCAGGTTTCACCATTGCCCCGGTGTGAAACTAGTCACATGGTGACAAATCTCCTTCTGATCTGCAAGAGCTGCGACTGCCTCTGGTAGTGACGACCTGGGCAGACCTTGGCTAGGCTGACCTCGGAGCTTCAGAATGTCTAAGCGAGTAAAACTCCGAAAAAATGGAAATTACTCTGGAGCCCGCACCATCAGTGAGGACGGGTGTCCAAATATTCAAGTATCCAAGTATTTCCAGAAGTGGTTTAGACATAATAAACGCAGTAATGAAAGAGGTATGTATTACAACACAAACACCTGAGCAAAGTTTTCTCGTTGGTAATAGTGCAACCTCAAAAGCTTCAAAAAAATTTAAAGACTCGGGGAGATTCGACCATTCTTAGAATATAAATATTCGCATAACAATAAGAAGATATTCGTTTCACTTTTTTCCTATAGATTTGTTCTTAATCATTACATACGGTGAAGAAGTTACAAAGGATATTGAAAGAGGCGGGAAGACTCCAGTTAATTTAACAGTTTTTTCTTTACTAGAAACAAATTCCCTTGTCTATTATTCTAAATTTATTCCATTTATGTCGTCATAGAGCTGCTAGCTCCTCTTGGATGTTCTCCTTGGTAGCCTATCTTTCGCCATGTTCAGTGCGAGTACGCTTCAAAACAATGAAGCATCCGTCACATTTGAAAGGAATATCTCAGCTTGAAGAACTTCAAGCGTGCTTCCAAATTTCTCTTCTTTGTTTCAGTAGTTTTTCTGGTCCAAAAAACCGTCTATTTCGTGAGTTATACGCAAGTATCCTTAAATACCAATCTCCTAACACCACAATGGAGCATATCGAGCCTTTGGTACGCTTTTGCTAAAATTTTTAAAAATAGAGGATATCACTAAATGAGCAACTGATTTTTCGAGTAGCAATTCAACTTTTTCGTGTCGAAGCTAACTTGCAACTGGTTTGGAGCTTATGTTGCGATGTCCTAAAGTACGTCGTTCTAACATTAGAAGTTCATTGTATCGGAGAAGAAGATACGCGATGTTGAGTCATAGAATTGAATTATGGCATTGGATTGGAGAATAAAATGTTGTGAAACCTGGCGTTAAGCTTCGAACTAAAGTGTTGGGGTTGAGTTCGATCGTTTGGATACTACATTTTGTAAGGACAGCTCAATTGTCTTCACTTACTGCCATCCGGAACATATGTCTTCGTCATAACATGTACTCTTCGAGTTTGGATAGTCAGACTCTAATAAGGTAATATATAAAGTGGTCGTTAAACGCATAAGGGTGTCATATAGATGTTGAAAACTTACGAACTGCTCTTGTTGAGCTGATGCGTGATTGGCATCAGTTGCTGTTGTTGTTGTGATTCGATGGCTGACGTTTCGGCAAGTTCGCTGCTTGGAGCTTGAACGTATTTTATGTAACGCTTTTCGTATAACCGTAATAATGCTGAGATATTTGCAAAAATCCGAACTGCAGGTATCTGCGGTAGGGATCGATCACGCTATTACCCTTTCCGGGCGCTAACACGTTCACCGCCACACCATGCGTGTCCTTCTTTTCGCCTGTCTCTTAGCTAGTTTTCATGTAATTCGCTGAACTACAGATAGTAGTGCTGATGAAGATCTATTACATAAATGGACACCACTTTTTTAAAGAACCATTCACCGTTTTGCAAGGTAAGGTGTGAGACCACCTATGTGTTGTTTACGTGGGATGATGAGTGAAACGTACTCAGATCAAAACATCAGTTTGAAAAAGACGTCAGTATAAATAATATATTGATTATTGGTTTTAGCTTTTTTAATGTAATGCAGCAGTGTATACAAAGCCCGTCTTTTGAGTTGCTGAAAAACTGTTGCACTGTTGGAGGACCCATCGATGGTGAGAGATGGTGATCCTATTGAGGTGAAGGCGTATGAGAGAAAATCGAACAAGAAGCCCATAAGAAGATTGTGATGTATCGTATGCACTCGCTTCTAATGAGTGTCATGATGTACCCACAATAAATTTTGTGAAGCTGACACTACCGACTGCACGTAGTCCAGACTAGGGAGTTGCATTCGACGTTAATACCCCAATTTAAACTTGTCGAGGAATGTAGTTAGTCACTATAAAAGGCCTCAAGGTGAAAAGTATTATGTATAGCGTGTCTATTAGGGAAACGGAACTTATTGGGTAATATTGCCCCGCGCTAAGAACAGGGGCGAACTTTGCTGCTCCCAGTCCGAGTTGTGATGATTAACAAGATTAAAGGTGAATCAGGCGAAAACTACTTATCTGGCATGAGGGCGTATTATACTATAATAGTTATTAACCAAATAATATTAGTAAGTCGGCTGACTTTTCATAATTGAGCAGTTATCACTTCTATAATGCTGAGATATTTGCAAAACTTCGGAACGCAGCTGTCTGCGGTAGGCAACGAACGCGCTATTATCCTTTCCGGGGAGTAACGCGCTCACCACCACACCATGCGGTTCCTTCGTTTCGCCTGTCTCTCAGCTAGTTCTATTAATTCTATCGAGAAGTTTTTTCTATGCGTTCCGAAGTTTTGCAAATATCTCAACGTTATAGAAGTTGTATTTCGCAACAAACCCTGCCGTTAAAAGGGCAGTAAATAAGAAGGTTAAGATTGAGCAATTATCCTTAAGATTCTCAGGTAACCACCAAAGTCTTTGAATCATCAGATGCATCTTGTATTTTATACAGAAGAATTAACTCAATCAAAAAGCGGAATAGACCAAATTGTATGGAAATAATAAAGAAGAGCTTTCTAGGCTGGAGATTTATGTGAACGAGAAATCGACGCCACTGATCCGCTACGTCCGTCCACAAACGAACTCAGTGGTGCTAAGTTACTCCTACGGCGGGCTATCAAAGAGGTAGTGATTAGAAAGCTCAGAAGGTCGCTTTGTGTCGTAAAGATTAGCTTAACAAATTGGAGATTATGATCTCCAGTGCAATAAAGCCATTTTTAAATAAAGTTCAGTGATCTGATCATTACTTAAGTTTACCACCTTTACAGATATCGGCGGATGTACAGCCAACAGTACCAGGGCAAGTAATACGTAATCATAAAATTGTAAGGACTTCTCACGGATCAAAGTGAGGTTTTTGAAAGATGGCTTTTATATTGTTTTGTATTCGATTTGTAATTAAAATTTCAAAAAACATGTTTTAAAGCGGATTGAAATGGAATTTCACTCGATATGAATGAATCTAGTACAGTACTTTTTAGTGCACCGATTATCGTGTTGTAGCACAAAGAAGGTACTTGAAAGCCATTCTTCGAGCACGTTTTTGAGAGTTCTGGAAGTGCACCAAAATCTTTGTTACTTAACGAATTAATTTCATAAAATAGCTGTAAATCTCTTTTTTTGCTCATTTTTTATCTCCTGTTCATCGTTTTCCAAAAGACAGTACTACAAGTTTATCTTGCAACATGTTCTGCACTGCTTAGTTATTTTTACTAGCGCGATGCTGTACAACCTTATTCGGGCAGTGACCCACCTTCCTTCCTGATTTTTTTTCCTAAAATCATTGCTTACTGAGGTAAAACTAGCATTTTTTTCGTTTCATAGCAACACGGACGTCGATATTTAGCATCAATAGCATATTTCAACCATTATTATTGGAGTGACAGAATTGTTTCGTTTGCAGACAAGGACACAACAGTGAGCCACGGCTAGGCACAGCTACATCGCAGCACACGTTTGTGATAGAGCCTGAACGACGGAAGCCATTAGTGCTGCCTGTTGGACTCACTGACGGTGAGGTTTCTTCTAAGATGAGGTAGAATTCCGGGCTTGTTTCTTTTTTCAACTACTATTAATGAAAGGTGAAAGCTAGCACGAAGTGCTAATCGGTCCTTGAGGGTGCACCATCTATTCGACTCCATCGTGTATCATTAGATGCATATTTGGCCTACACAATAATTTAGGTCTCCGGATGTACAGGTTCAGCAAACTAGTGTTTTCTTCTTGAGCAGACACGTCGGTCAGTGTTGAACAAGGCTTTATTGACAACCTCGTGTCAGCTGAAGAAGAAAACGTTAACTTAGTGATGAATGCCGAGGTGAATAGAAGGTCGGTGCTAAAAACTACTGCGTATTATAAGAGTTTGGTGTTTTTATGCTACAAGAGAAGTTTCAGACCAGTTTTTTGAAACCGAAGGATGGGTGGTTGATTAGTTCGGGTAGCTGTTTAGAATCAATGAACAAGTGCATCCTAGAGTGCTACCTGACTCGGAATTTCTCGGTACATCAATGGTCTTCAGAAAAGTTGTTATCCTGCCGGACACTGAGAGACATCGAATGAATGTGGCTCTTTGTGGCATTAGGCCAGGCCTTTTCAGTGGAGGCTGCAGTTTGTTCAGTAAACCTTGTATGTAAGATATCTGGGCTTCTTTTACGATACAGAACTGCTCTAGTATCACGAAAATTCAGAACGTAAAATTGAATAGAAAACTAAACAAGGAGGACTTGGCTTGTTATGGCTTGACTTTAAGCGGTCTGAAGGTGAAAATGTTCAGTAAAGTAAACTTATGGCAAAAACTAAAGCAGCTGAAAGCACTGCGTTTTAACTAATGAAATTTTGGATTAGCTCTTAGAAATCAGTTTGTCCATGGTCTATTGAAGTTTATAAAGCGCTTTATGAAAACCTGTCCTTAGGTGCAATTGAGTACAAAAGATCTCAAGAAGAACTACGAAAAGCTAGAGAGGAGGAAGAGAAACAATTACAACGAGAACGGGCAGAAAGTGAAGAAGCTAAAGCAAAAGAGCGAGAGAGGTGAGCTGGATTATTTTGGTAGAACGAATGCTTATACGCAGCAAATGGTGCCGTGCTAAAATTTATGAGTATAGTTGACGTATTGAAAAACCGATGAAAAATTTTCGTAAGGCTTACAATACTGACCAATCTCTTAGCTTCTATGTAGTGCCTAAAGAATACTGAGATATGAGTGAAACTCGGAATCTCAAATGGTCTTCGAACTAACGATTACCCGTATCGGGAGCTCACGTGCTGTCCATGACGCCAACTCTTGCTTTGCCTTTCTCTCAGCCATTTTTCTACTCTATCGCTACTATCAGCAATCATCTGTCAACGGAAATTATCTAGGGAGTATAAATCTGCATTAAACTCAGTTAAGCTGAAGCTGCAATCGAAATCACGATGTGTTGATTTTAATTTGCTGCCTATTTTCATGACAAACATTACGTCATTATGATTTAGATTGCACCTTTAGCTTAACTGGGTTCATTGAGGATTTCTGCATCCCAGATAATTCTGGTAGACAAGTGATTGCTTATAGTAACTATAGAGTAAAACTATTGCTGAGTGAAAGGTAAAGTGGAATCTTCGGTTGGTGCAATGGATAGAAGGCGAGTCTCCGGTAAGAGTAATCATAGATCCGAAGCCACTCGTGGTTCCGAGTTTTGCTCATATCTCAGCGTCATTCTAGTTCAGTGTATTCTTCCTTTCACGTCACTCTACCAACTAGTGATTAGTTTTTAATTGACAGAATTTTTATTAAACAAAGTGAAGTTTAGCAGTAGAACAAACTATTAATTATTCAAGCAGAAGTTGGATGGTAGTTGGTTTTCAAATTGACTTTAATTGAGTTATCCTAGTGATGAGGCTAGCTGATGTGACTGTGTACAACCCGGTGTCTCGTCTCATTGAACTACACATCCGATCTAAAATATAATGTCAAAAATTGGGAGTGTCATTACTGGGTAAAAAGAAAAAGGATATAACGTTCGGGTCGATTAATGCCTCACAAGTACGTCAAGTATTCAGTTTTATCAATTATCGTAAAAGTGATCAAATTCATATGCGTTCGTTATTCCTTCCAGGTTGGTCTGTTACCAATTTCTCGACCCTGGAGGAATGTAGTTTTGTATACCCGGATACGAGATTAAACCAGCGATCGACCACTTGTGTATTGGAGAGCATCTATCACCAGTGTGCTGTACAAGTCTGCCGCGTGATCCTTTCCGTAAATTGGAGTTAGTCGCCCTGAGGTGTTCTTAACCTCATCCTAGACCGCCGTAGACTCACGTAGACCCAGGAACATTGTGCTTCTGTGAAATTATGCAACTAAGATTCCTCAAGCACTGCAGTGATCGTCGTGATTGGTAAATCAACCAGTCGGCGACGATTGAGAAGATAAAGTTTAAATTCAAAAATACTAAGATGATAGAAACCATTCGAAATGTAAAATAGAGGTATAACGACGCTGAATTATTTGCAAAACTAGGAAACCTTTTGCCAACTTCGGATTGAAGGCCACCCTTTCCGGAGGCTCACATGTTAGCCTCTGCACCACTGAGGCCATTGATTTGCTTTCTTAGCCAGTTTTTTCTTTTACCATAACAGTGCCATCAGTAGTTATCCGTCAACGGAAATGACCTGGGGAACACAAATCGGCACTGAACGCAGTTAAGATGAAGCTACGAAGTACCTGAAGAGGTTGAATATTTCAGTATCATTGTGTGGTTGTATTTCACTCTGTACCTGCCATGAAGAAGAAATGAGGCAGTAATTAAAAATTCAGACATTGGTATATCGAGAATGTCCTTGTCGATATGTTGTTATTAAACCAAAGTAGAGGTTAACAAGCTGAGGGCAATGCGTGGCACATGCTGTACCAACTACTTATATGCTCTATTTTTGTGAGTCGTAAGGAGCCGGCACTTTGAGACAATAATAGAGAAATTTCTTCTGAAACCTCAAGGTAGTCCTCGTAAAACTTTTCGACGTTGCCTCCAACTTGCTAATCAGCTACTTTGCCACCAACGAGGCTTCGCTGTCATAGAAAGGTCGTCTGAACTGAGAAGGAATGAAGATTCGACTCAAGGTGTGATCTACGAGGAAATCTACGCCATATGGAACCTTGTGCTCTATGCGTAAGTATATAATTGACATGGATATTAAAAATGAAAGCTTTGTACAAAAAGACTGATGTTCTTCGTGTCTCTTGAATAAGCGGAGCCCATTGCGCTGCTTTCGCACCTGGCTGGGTTTGGAGACGATTAAATATTGCATACACGAATCGATAATTAACAGAACCACACGTTATACACGTTATGTAAAAGTGAGGTTAGAACTGAAAAATGCATCAATATGATAGAAAATCGGAGGTTGATCCGATCTTTATTATCTCTTCACGAATTTCCCTTCAGTAATCTAGGTAGTCTCAATCACATTTCACGAACACGCATAATAGAGAATACAGGAACTGATGAGATTAGCGAATAAATGTTTTTCGAACCAACCGTAACTTAACCTTGGCATTAATAATCAATAGTTTCTTGGATTATTAAGCTAACGCCAGGTTGATAAAGATGTTTTTTGTGCTAACATTTCGACTCCTTCGTCTTCCTCAGAGCCGATGATCCGAGTAGATGGCCCACAGTCGTTCCTCTTCTGGATGTGGGTTCTTCATCTTTGTGTCTAGTCGAATATTCTTCAATGGACCACCTCTCGAATGAGGCAACCCCACCTGACAGAACTCTTGACCGTTGTTGCTGATAATTATTCAAGAAGATTGATTTACTATTCACTATGTGCTAGCTAACATAATACTGATAGCTGCATGATGGATTGTCCGATGAAAAGCAAATTATTATCAACGGATATCAACGGATATCAACGCCACCTTAGCTTAATAATCCAAGAAGATGTGATTAGTGTCAAATTTAGGTTTATCGAAAGCCTAGTTCAGTATATTTGAAGAAGTAGTCCAAACACTTTTGTCGTCAACTTGTTTATTAAAATAGTAAACTATGTATATTTAGTGCATTAAGCAACCGAACAATTCATTATCTTTGTAGGCAAAGCCAGCGCCAACCTCGTCCATCTGCTCGAAAGCCGTCAACGATGAGGTGAAGCTCATAAAGGTTTCTGCAGATTCGTTGTGGTGTGGTCAAACTGTGAATCACATCATTAGTTCTGGCAGTCGATTCTTTAGTAGTCGCATTTCTTGTAAATTCTCTTTCCTAGGAAGGAGGTAACCAATCACACAGAGGGTGGAGAGTTCAACAAAGCGAACCGAACTCCTACTCAGAAAAGTGCGGTGGTACTTAAAGCTACTGCTTCCACTTTTGCTTTCCACGTCATAATTCCGTCCGTTTAGAAACGAATTCCGCATCCAGCAATGTCATCTCGTGCGTTAACTCGACTCCAACACCCACTGTTGACAATTCAGTATCTTATCCTATTGAATTTGAAGATGAGAGGTAAACAGTGTTGCCATAGTGAATTTTTCAACACTAAATACAATTGATTTTGCGTAATATTTCTGCTACACTACTGAGGCGGTGTGGCCCAGTGGTCGGAGGCGCCCTGCAACACACACCTGAATCGATCCCAGCGTCCGCGTCCCCAGCAAGCGTTCCATCTCTCCTGGGCCGCAAATTGGTACGAGACTTGTCTGGGAGGATGGCAGCACTGGGTCGATACATCGGTAGACCACTTCCAGTCATTGTAAAGGCCAGATATGCATTGAAGCACCTCTAAACGATGCTTAATGAAATCGAATGCATGGCGCGTCTCTCAAAGATTGATCAACGCCGAGAGCTGTATCCTGTAATATTTCTGCAAGTCGCACCCTGAACCAGTTATAATAACTTTTTTTATGAATTCGTGTACTTTTAAAGAAAAATCGGACTCGTATATCAGTAATCATCTACTGTGTGTCTGCCATGTATATGGTACTGGAAAGTGTTCGATCACCTCCTTTCTACTAGTGCCATCGCATCGTGGGATTATAATCGTAGGAGCATTGAGGTTTGCGAAAAAATCCACTAGAACTTTTCTCATTCACACCTTCGGAAATCTTGTTTACGACTAAGTTGTTCACTCTTACTTTCGTGTTCATCTACCGTAAGAAAGCGGCAGATGATAGTTTAACGGTCTCTCCCAGGATACCGGTATATCAAAGGTTCTGCGTTAGAACACTTCTAGCAATATATAGGCCTTCGTCGAGTGGTATTTTCTTAGATTTATTAACAAGTCCCTTATCAATTAATGCATCACCTACCGTGCCAATTCGTTGTCGGTAGCTCAGTATATTGATTAAATCTGGAAAAAGTGAGTTCTGGGACGGGGTTAGTGCTTTGGTTAGTCAAGCTATCGCTCAGGAAGCATAGACGCTCGTTCGATCCCTGTCACAACACTCTCTTCCAGTCCACTTGGGAACGTCTTAGCCGGGCTATCTCCGAGATCAGAAGGAGAATTGATTCGACCAGCATTCTACGACATTCTACAAAAAGACAAATTCCTCAAGCAGCAGCTGAAAGAACACGCGAGATTTTCAAGAACCTTTGCGGAAGATAAATGCAAGGAAAACAAATTGAGTATAAGAAGTGTTGGCGTCGGTCCGTTAGACGTGGTGGTGGGTCGTATACGAGGGAAAAGTTCATGCTGAGCTATTCAACACTTCATTTATTCATAGATTATTCCATAATATCCAGTTCATGGGCGAGTGCAGTATAGTGGCAGAAGGTGCTCTGCATTTCACAATTGCTTCCATCTCTCTCGGATCGGTAAATTCTTGTCAGATCTATCTAGAAAGGAAATAACACTGTGTTGATCCATCAGTAGGCCACCACGACTCATGTATAGGGCAAATATACAGTATAGGGCACACAGTTACCACGATGCTATGAATGAGATTGGATGCATAAGGTATTTTTACGAAATTAATCATCGCTGGATGCTTAATTCGCTTTAGTTTTGTGCTGTTAGTTAGTCAGGAATTTGATTGGTTTGATTTCAGCCAACTGGACTACACGGCAGTATTCGGAGCACGACCAAAGTTGGCCCGCACACCAGATAGTGTCAGCAATCGCGGAGGATTTTTCCGCTAGATGTCAGTCACCTCATGAGCTCATGCTAGTTAGAGTATGCAACAGTTTCTATCTATTAACTAGAAGTTCTGCTTGAAAGAATAAGACTGGGACAAGTTTTTTTTTCTTGGGATAAAGAACCAGTAGCTATTAACTCCAAGTTCAACTTTCCCCATCATTCGATCTCTTCAGTACTCCCTCGAAAGGCAAAGTGAAGTCCCAATCATAATTTTGATTTTCTATTTGCGAATCACGAATCCTTACCCTTCTAGTTACCATGAAAACAACAGAAAGGCATTCGTCTCTTAGGTTAGTTGAGAAAGATTTAAATTCATGTTCACAGTTCCATGAAAGCCCTATTTCCAGTCTTGTCCTAAATTTTGACGCGACAATTTAGAAAACTATGTATAGCACACAACTATTTCCTTGTTTTACACTTCATGACCAATCTAACTGTTCTTCATTTCAATTCTGCGCTAAAATACAAAGGTGATCTGTATATTAGTAACACCTTAAAGAACCTCGTCTCTAATATGTGTGCATTACGCAGTTATTACTAACACGCTCTAGGTAGAGAGGAAGTTTACTTGTGATTTTGTAAGCCATCAATTCTATGCTTGATGCAGCACTACACCAGTCTCACAATTCTCGGGCATCTCGGTATTTTATGTGGAGTTTTCCTGTGTAATTTCGTATTTCCCATAGTTTTAAGTAATAAAGCTTTCAATAGCTTTTTATCACAATGCTTCCTCAAAATTACACATTCAAAAATGCAAAGTCCCAGCGTGTCGGGCTGCAACATACGCGGAGGTTGGGGAGTTTATCTCTCAGCAGGGTTTTTCGGAGCAAGAACGAGTCCGACAATTTCATCCGAAAGCTAAGTTAAGAATGAACCAATACCAAGAATCATCACCGTCCTGGTATCAAGCTAGGTCTCATGATGGACTGTCTCCTTTTGATACAGAAGAGCCGCGACTCCCTGACATGGTGGCAACATAAGAGGATTGGGCTAGGCTGACCTCGGGACTGCAGGAAGCCACAATGGTTAAAGTTAAAGTAGTGAATGTAAATTACGCTGGGACCCATATAACTAGTTAAGATAGACCATCCAACTTCCCAGGTAAGTACGTGAAAGACAAGGAAGTTTCGTTGAGCTGAACGTGAAGTGGATGTAAACACTGGTGAGGCAAATCAATGTGATAGTGGTTTTGAAATTCCTAGATTACCAGGGAGTAGACCGTCCACTTTATGATTCGAATTAGTCGTGATAACATCCTTGAACAACTATAATACTTGATATCTGAGGAAGTCGGTAGATTGAATTACTAAAGTTGCAGGCGTATAAGCTGTTATCGGTAGCAAGGAAGTGTTACTCTTCGAAACGTGAAATTATTATAATGTAATTTTAACCGTTTTATTTACTGTCTATTCTTTTTAATGGCAGGATATACTGCGAAACATAACATCAATGATGTCGAGATATTTGCAAAACTACGGACCACAGGTGTCTGCGGTCTAGAGTTTTGCAAACATCTCAGCATCATTGAAGTTTTATTACAATGTAATATAACTGCATCAACTCGTTGCGTCTGTCGTGCGCCGAGTACACCGAACCTATCGTTCCCTCGGAGTTGAGAACCAGATTTTTCTGGCAAGAGCTCCATTTGATCCACAAAAGTTAGCGTCTACCTTTGGTGAGGAGTTGGGAATGTTGTAGCAGAGCCGTCCCAAAATTCCAGGAAGAAAAAACTCGATAGACATTTTATAAAATTCATGAAAGAAAGCGCAATTCTCAGTCGGCAGCTGAATCCACGAAAAAAGTCGATTCTTCTTCCTAGATAACGGAGGCAAGAAAACGAAACGAATGTAGGCGCTAGGATCTGCACAGTATGCGATGTTCGATAATCTAGTTAAATAACAATAATTGCTGCTCAAGCGCTAACCAACGGAAAAACGGTGACGTTTTGTATAATAGAGAGTGGAGTACTTTGCTTACCTTTAAATTCGTCATGCAGTTACCAAACTTGGCCACAGTGTAGTTGGTCTAGTTGTCCAATTGGTGAAATAAGGGCGCGTATGGAGCAGTAGTTGGAGGCGCTCTGCAACACATACGTAGCAACGACCCCAGCGCTCACGGCCCACTTAGCCTTCCATGTCTCCGGGGTCAACGAATTGGTACCAGACTTGTCTGGGAGGATAGGGATAGCAGCATTGGCTCGATACATCTGTAGGCCACCGCGAATCATTTTAAAGGGCGGATGTGCATTTAATCACCTCCATTTAATCTTAATGAAGTCGAATGCGTGGCGCATCTATCAGGGATTGATCAACGCCCAGAACTTTATCCTTTATCCTTTCACTGAATATTTCTCTACGTCATCTTGATGCGGTATGTAACATAAACACCAATTCTCTTTAACCTGTACAGGATACATCGATACGTGCATATTCCAAGTCGTACTCTCGGTGGCTTTAAACTGTTCACTTTATAAAAAAAAGTATATCGAAGCGTGTAGCTCAACCGTTTGAGACCGTGCCCTGCAATACACACGTGGTCTTTGGTTCAATCTCAAGTCCTGGCTCACCAAGCCTTCCATCCCTCCAGGTTCAGCAAATCGGTATTAGACTTTTCTGGAGGATAGTACCACTGATTTAATGCATTGGCAGGCTACCGCATTCATTGTATAGGCTAGGTGCGCATTCATTCACCTTTAACGGTGCTTAATGAATTTCCCTCAAGAGTTGATCAACACCAAAAGCTTTATCCTTTATAAGAGAAATCTGCAGTCTAGACGGTGGGAGCTGTACTCCACTAAGGTTTCGTTCGTAATAACTAGATTTTACGCAATTCAGTAACGCAGCATCCGATCGCATATGGCTCAGTGAAAGGTTAGACACTCGTTCTTTACCTATTCGAGATCTAAGCCGCTTTTCCTCATGATAGATTTCTTCTCGAAGAGAGACAAAGGTCGATTTTCTCATTCGCAGAGGCGTACACGATTCTACATAATTCGTTAACATGAGCCATTCAAGGATTTATGCGAGTATTGGTACAAAGGGAGAAATGTAGTAACGACATAACGTTAAACACTGTAAACACATGAGTGTACTAATTTCCATCGATTTTCGTAGATATGAGGGCCACTGCATGGAATAAAATGTAAACGTGAAAACCGACGACAGTGGCACTAACACGTACGTGTCACATGAGTGAGAAGAAAGTATGAGAGCAAGAAACGACGCCATACGCGCAAAATGTGGTTGATGCCATATCGGAGTAAAATTAGATGAGAATGATGTGAATTCAATGGCCGCTAAATGAAAGGATAAAGCGCTCGGTGTTGATCAATTCCTAAGGGATGCATCATGTATTCGACTTAACTAGGCATCATA